AAAAAATGTGCTTAGTTTCCTTACTCTTCCATCTAAATCGAGCCATTTTGACCTTGACCTTTGACCTTTTGTTATGAAAATTGATTTTTTTCTTTGTTTTTGCTATTGTGTTCTACATGTACAAATTTGGTTTTAATCCATTTTAAAATACTCAGGTATTTATATGGAAACTGATAGTAGATACCTATTGCCCTTGTCTGGAATTCTTAAAAAAAACATTAGTTTGTAACCATGGTAACATGAAAACAAGATATGAATACCAAGTGGTTCTTTGCAGTTTATATTACAACTAAATATGGTCTTTCAAACCAATGTATTTATTTTTTCCAATATGTCCGCAAAAATTTATACCAGGCTTTTCAAAAGAACCTAAAATCTACAATTTTTCCTTAGAAAAATCATACCTAAAAAGGGGGGATATTTTTTCTATGAAGTTAAGTTACTCAAATACTAGAAATTATCTAAAGAACTATAAAAATGATGTATTTTGACAAAAAGATAAAGTCATGTAAATATATTGTTGTATTAAAGACTTTTAATTAGTCAAAAATGGTCATTTTTCATCAAAATTTAGCATTTTTTCGGCCATGAAAAATATATGTTGGTTGCCATGGTAACCATTGACCATAGCAACCATTTTATTATGAATTTTAGTTTCATACATCATTATAGGAATGTGTGCCAAGTTTCATAAAAATCTAAGACCTAGCGTGCCACACTCCCTATATAAGAGTTTAAATGCTTACAGAGAATGGCTATTAAATAAAATTGTTCAGGTATAAGTTCCATTCAAATACACAAAAGACTGCAAAAAGACGGTAGTAATATTTTGATATGCTTGATGAGAACACTACAGGTACTTTGAGAACTGAGCTCACAAAATGATACACCCGCTCCCATATGAATATATGATGGCAAAGTAAATTTTTTGCTATGGGAAACCCAAAATATCTCTCCGATCAGAGCATAAAAAATAGATGCGCAATGGTACAGTGTAAGAAAGTTTCTGTGAAAGTCCTATTGAATTTTAACCAGTCTTAATAGTGCAGTGACAAACCTAGAAAAAGACGCTTATTTTTCGAGTTTAATGCACCAGCATACCCTACGGCTGAAAGTTATATTTTATAAAAGAGACATCCCTTCTCATGCATTTTCGCCCGATCGTAGAGTTTTCACGAGTCAAACTTTTTTTTAATCGCGAATAAAAGTGAAAAGGGGGGTAGTATATTTTGTCTGGCGATATTATTCTTCACAAGTTAACAGTGGAATTACATAAAAAAGTAAATCTTTGTACGTAGTAGGATACTTATAGCTATCTAAGTTAATATTGTCAAATTAATTATGAATTTATTGTTTGTTTTGTTTGTTATTTTTAAGAGATTGCGTGTTTCAAAAAAATGCATTCCAGGTAGTTACATAGTGTAATAAATTACGAACATTTACTTGAATATTTTAAAGATAATTATGCAAACGATGTTTCAGACCTAAGGATATCTTCACACTAAGTTTTTTTTAATTCTCTTTGATCTGAAATTTTAAACGTTTTATGTTATCGGAAACAAATTATAGAATCCCAGTACCACCTGTGATAATGGCACCGATTGATTACCGATCAAAATATTGTTAGACATATTAAATTGTCTTCTCCTCTTTATTAAAAAAGGCTAAAAAGTTTCATTGTATTCACCTTAAAGTTTTAAAAAGACAAAATTCAAATCTAAATGTACACTCGAACGAAAGCAGTCAATTTCCGGAGAAAATATGCAAGTTTTGACAAACTTTCAGATTTTCTCCTTAAGACGCCAAATGAAGTCTGGATTTTAATCAGTAAGCATGTGAATGTAATTATTCTGTTTTATTTTTCAATTAAAGAAGACATAAAGGTCAAGCATGTTACTTTCATTTCATGTTTCTATTTGAACAGTGTCTTGCATGATTAGAGATTGCTTTTCTGCATCGTAAGCAATGCAATTGCGATGCTAAGTTGTATGAAATAGAAAGAGAAGAACGATTCGAAGTGTTATTGACACATTCACAAAATATGTAGGAAATATTTGAGTATATCATTGGAAGAACTATATATTATAAAGATCATGCATCACTTACTTTACTTCCTTTTGAAAAGTGGTGGGGAGGGGTGGGTGGGTGTACACATGTACACTAACGTGATTGGGGTATCTGGCCATCAGTATATCCGGCACACTCGGGGTGGAAACCCCTTATCCGCAATTCCTCTTGCAAAGAACTGCGAACGATAGTATTGTTTTCCCGCCTACCTCCAAGTCAATTTTCAAAAGTTAAGATATTCGAATGATTTTTAATATTTATATTGATATTTATATGGATTTTCATAAAACATTACCTCTTTGGGAAAACAATGAGAGATAACTCTAAAATTTTGGTAAAACTCGTGTTTTTCACTATAGAAATCAACGGAAAACGGAAAATATTTTTAAGACATCTCCCCCCCCCCCCCCCGTGAAACAAAAATTCCTCTATACGGATAATATGGACTGTCATTTCACAAATTCATATCAAAGCTTTTTGTGTTTCACGGGGGGGAACTTATGTTTATATACAAAAAACGACAAAAATGCTTATTTTTTCAGCAATTTCCAAGTGCTTTACAACTCAAACATTATATTTTACTTATATGCTTAATTTTACATGCATAAAACATAAGAAAAGATTTAAGAAACATTTATTCATATCCAAGACTATTTCAGAATATGGTGATGCTTTATAGCCCGTTTTCAGTGGAAAATATCGTCTACACCCCTTATTTCAAAAGCTGGAATTAGGGATATTTTACTATTTAGCACTGGAATTAAAATAATTAATCAATTGCAATTGAACTGTTCTTTATATTAAACAAAGATTTTATGGCCAAATTGTCATCAATATTGAATTAAATGGTTGTAAAATGTAGGCGGGAATCGGGAGTTACCGTGCGTAGTTCTTGTTGCTATTTAATATAGAATCTTTAATACAAGCTAACTTATAACAAGCACCTGTTATTTTACGTTTCCATCGGAATCGGGGTTTCCCAACATCCATCTTTTATTCTGAATCCCCCTATACAGCTGAATAAAATTTTACTAGATTGTCACATATTTAATCTTTATCTTAAATCGTTGTGTTGTGCACTTTTAATTTTACGTCTTGATCAGAAAGATATTTGGGATTTCTTATATCAAAACTTGGACTTTGCCATTATTCTTGTCAAAGGGGGTATCCATTTTGTTAACGCAGTACCTTCTTAAATCCCCGAATGAATATCGATGATATTTTTAAAGAATCACCTTCGACCAGACGAAAAACCTATTGGAGCGGGAGTATCATTTGTGAGCTCAATCAAGTTTCTATTCTGCTTTTTAAATGAAACATATCCTTGTAAAGTGATGTAGTAGTAACAAGATAGAGAAATTACAGCTCTAACAAATGCATATCGTCAATAATATAAAAATGCTTTCTTTGTCCCGTTTCATAGAATTGCAACTATATGACCGATACAAGTCCAAAATCTTTCTGCTCCTAAATCCTCACTACCGAGTATATAACAGGCAGAATTTACGAGTAAACGCTTATTCGAAATCTCATCAGATTATCATAACCTTTCGAAACATAGACAAGATGCAGTAATTTTTTTTTTTTTTTTTTTTTTGCAAATTGTACGAGGGAGACGAAAAATATCAAGAGTTTTAGTATTCGGTTGGCTCTTTTTTTTGTGACAACAGGTGTGATCCCTTAAAGAACCCTATCTGTCCAAAGGTCATATGCGCCGAGCATACACCTGTATACATGTATTTCGAAGTATAAGAACCCTTGATAAAACTGCTTTCATATTCATAAAGTTGTTTAACGAATCTATAATTATAAACAAAACAAAAAACGTTAATTATTATGCTTTAACGTGTATGACGTCATATAGATAATTAATATGCTTCAGGAACAGAAAATGTCTTTTTTAGAGTTCAATATATTCAAAATTATTGATGTTTAATGTTTAAATAAAAAATATTACTACTTCAAAGCAACAAAACTCAAAATTAAGTTATTTCGTATTTTGGGGGTAGGGTGAAAGGGGGGGACTATTGTCCTTTTTTGATTTCCTAATTACTGTTTATACATGCACCTGTCTAAATATTGCCTGATTGTGCATTATGAACAAAAAACCTGTAGATCACCACTGAATTAAATCTACTCCAAGATAATTAATTTTACGGACAGACAGACGGACATTATAGTTCAAATTTTCCTTCTTTTTCTATGAAATATATATTTTCACTGTAAAAATCAATTTTCCATATTAATTTATTGCAAAATCCGAGAAAATTTATGAATTCCTTAAGCTTTTTTAATATGTTCATTATTATGGTCAGATTTCAATCATTGACCTTTAACCTACTATTATTTTTAATTTTGACCATAGAATTTTCTACGACCGTGCGAAAATAACTGCTTAATAATATACCTTTCGAAAAAAGTACAAATTAGCCGTAGGGTAGGGTGGAAAATTTTGATGATCTTGTTACTCCACTATAAAGGAGGAGTTGTGGATATGAGATGGGTGCCCCCAATATAATAGAAAGATTGAAACCAATGGCCAGGCTATAGGAAACCCCAAATAACGGGAAAAAAGAAGGTGCACAATGGCACTATGTAATAAAGATTCTGTGGAAGTCTCATTAAATTTTATTCATTGGGATAAGAGGAGTTGTGGGTAAGAGATGGGTATCCCCAAAGTGTTGCAGACGTACGGAGGACGTACGGACGGACATCCCTATAACTATATAATCCCCCGCTTTTTAAGCGGGGTGTATAAAAATTGTTGTTGATAAAAAATATATTTATTAGATAGATAATCAGTATTTATTATAAAGAAAACCAAATGCACTGTAGTGTTTTCTTCTTTTATGTTTAGATTCTACATTATCACCTGATTTACAGTGTATATCTCTCTATATATGTGATTTCCTTATACTTTGTTCTGGTTGTAGGTAGCACGAGCAGCCTACGGTGTATTGATCATTGGTATATTCTGGGTGTTTGAAGTTCTGCCATTGGCAGTAACATCTTTACTTCCAGTACTCATATTTCCATTACTTGGGGTCGCCAAAGTTAGTGTAGTATGTTCAAGTTACTTCAAGGTAGGAACATATTAATTTTCGTATGATCAAAATTGTATTTAAATGCGGAGAATGCATTTTCCCCATGTGTAATCATTATAATTTGGTAAACCTGATCCTGACATATTTTGTCACTTATGTTCACACTCCCATGTAGTAAAATGAAGAAATAGAACAAGAAAAAAAAGTCACTTGTGTCCGGTTTATTTCAAGTCTTTTCCAATCCAAAGGAATTAGAATACCGAACGGAGGAATTCACAAACTTTATACACAGCTTTCCTCCACATTGCATAATTAAATTTTTTACTTGAAAAAAAAACTGTTTAAAGTGAATTTATTAAAGAAAACATACATTTTACTAGAATCGAAAAAAAAATGCGGTACGATTACAATTTTAGGTTGTCGTCTATAAAAGATGAACATTTCTTGTAGATATATATATGAATGTGCATCGAAAATACTTGTCATTTAATTAGTAAGGTTACCCCCTCGTACATGGACATTTTTAAAAGGACAAAGAAGACATCAAAAAGTTGCAGAAATATGACAAAAATTTTAATCTTCCCATCTGCAGAATAAATTTTTGGGTTCCTTTTACAATTCAGTCATCCAATCAAAAATATTTTGATGGAAAATTCATTTTTCAATAATTAAAAGTAAAAATTCCTGAAAGAATTCCGGTTGTTTTGTAGCCTTATTTTATAATTTTATAAAATATCATATGTTAGTACAATATTGTCTCTCTTTCCATACTAAATATATTTTTTTTTCCATATCAAGGACACGTTGATGTTGTTTCTGGGAAGTCTTATAGTTGCTGTCGCAGTGGAGAAATGGAATTTACACAAAAGAATCGCTTTACGCGCTCTGACACTTGTCGGTCCAAATCCAAGATGGTAATCAAGATTGTTTTAGCTCACCTGAGCCAAAATAATCTTTTCACAGTTTCATCATCTTTGCCAGAACCTATTTCAATCAAACTTGGCTCAAAGTATTATTACTTAGAGGGCATGTTCCTCGTTTCTAAATCATGCAGAAATTGATGATGGTTTCTACATTACCGGTTTATATATAAAAAGATTTAAAAAATGTTTGTCAAAATTGCTCAATTTTCGTGGTACATTATCGTTTTAATCGATAATATTGACGGCCTGAATCAGCTAATTGTATAAATATCTGCTTGGGAAATCCATTATTTCATTATAGATTAAATGAAAGGCCACGTCTTATTCAAGGAATATTATCTAGAAAAGGAAAAAATAGGGTGTAATCATTCAAAATCTTCTTCCCAAAAGCCACTAGGCCAGGACAAAAATTAATTTCATGTTAAAGCTTCCTGATGTACTACATATTCAAACTTGTTCAAATCACAGATAGTGTGCCATTATAAGTTTATACAATGCCATCCTCAGGTAATACAAAGATTCATGGTCCCAGGGTTGGTGGTGGGAGGTTCAAGTTTTCACATTGTGAACAGGCACATGAAATTCTTGAATCCCACAGATCTAAAGGGGCGTATTACAATAAAGATTGTCCCGATAACGAAAAACAAATTTGTATATTTACATTTCATTATAAATATTTTAAATTAACCATTGTCCTGCAAGTAAGGCATGGTTAAACAAAACATTGGTTGAAAAAAACAACAACTAAAAATGGAAAAAAAAACTGTTTTTGCAAAAGCTATTACAATAAATTTAAAGATTGTCGCGGTAAGGAAGGACATATTTCTATGTTTATTTATACATTTACAAAAATGAATTTTATGCCAAAGCTTCCTGATGTAGTGTAGATTCAATTGAAACTTGTTCAAATCATGGTTATAGAGTGAATTAAAACAAAGATCAGAGGGATCAAAGTTTACCAAGAGAAAAAAATAAGAAACAAAAAAAAATTCTCCAGCACAGTATGGCCATAATCAGTCATGCAAAGTAAGCAGAGCAGATTTAAGTTTATTCAAATCATAGCATACGGGTGTAGGGGCGACCACAATAGGAGATGGAAGTTTATACATTGGCATACTCAGGTAGTAAAGAGTCAACTTAGTTTGGATCATGGTACTAGGATTGAGGGTGGTAGATAGTTCATTTTCAAATTATGGACAGACACACGAAATTCTTGAATCCGGGGAGTGTTACAATAAAGATTGTCCCGATAAAGAAAGATATATTTATATATTTACATATGATTATAAACATCAAATTAAAAACTGTACTGCAAGAGGAACTAAAGCATAGTTAAACATAACTGTGTATGTATTGGTTGAATAAAAAAAATAAAATAAAAGGGAAAACCTGTTCATGCAAAAGAAATTAGACTGTTGAAAATTGTACCCTTGACAACAGACATCTATGATGTAATACTAAAAATCCTTTCGGATATATGGCGCCATAAATTTGCTGTTAACGACGGAACTGCGCTGGCCAGAGGGATTTGTGGCTGTCTCGTTTGACAAGAAACGGAGAACGTTTGAAATAATTGGGCTATTACAGTATGTCGAACTGCTAAATGACGTTTTCTAAAATAACAGATGCGGATTAGTTCTACAAACATCAGTTACATTGACGTTACATTTGATTAAGTAGATTTTTTAAAAAATGATAACAATCAGTCATGTTTTATTTTTCATAAACTGAATGATCTTGTTAATGCCTAGACTTTGTACTTTTAACTTATACAATTCAACATCACATGTTTTTGATAACTTGGAAGTATTTTGAAGTGCTCGATAATTTTTTTTATGAATTAGAATTTCTGTTTTCTAAACTGTAAAATCTTTGGCTTTAAACAGGCTTATGTTGGGGATCATGTTGCCGTGCTGGTTCCTCTCCATGTGGATGAGCAACACAGCAACCACAGCCATGATGGTGCCCATACTCAACGCAATTCTCCACGTCATGAAGGAATCAATGACAGATGGTACTTGTAATGACAACATAAATTGACTGGCGTTACTTTTTAATAAGCGTATCGAGCACGAACACCAAAAATGCTCGACTCATTGAGAATGCAGTAAAGTTTAACATATTTGATTAAATGTTTTGCAAAATTTATTATTTACTGATTTTTCAATTGTCATAATGTATAATCATGATTGCAATGAAGCAAATTGATTTCAACAACTTTTCAAATCATTTAAAAAAAAAATTACAGAACCCGCCGAAGAGACGGAGCTTGTAGAACAAGGCCTTGATAAAACCATAGAAAATGGAGAAGTGGTACATGTAGAGACATTGGAGGGGGAGGAAGTTAGCATCAAACCCCGAGAAAGGGACGTGTAAGTAGCAAGAAAACAGGTTATACAGTACCCCCAGGGACAATGCAAGATATCTGCATGCAACACATAAAGACGTTCAGACTATTTAAATTTACATGTATATCCAAAGAATCAACAAATCTCAAACGACAGCGAAAATTTCTTACTATTATTATCATTATTTATGGTTATTTATGATAGATATAAGCATTTTCTCATTCTGAAAGAAATCAGAGACAATTTGAAATGGATCGAGTTAAGATTATCATTTCACCTTTTTTTAATGTGAGAAAATGATTGATTGTATGTTGTTTAACGTCCCATTCGAGAATTTTTCACTCAAATAGAGACGTCACCCATATACCGGTGAAGGCCTTCAAATACTAGGCACTCAGGGCCTTTGAGCAGTGAGGGTTCTTTATCTTGCCAACGCCTACCGTAACACGAACTTGCATACGTGATTTATTTAAAAAATACAGACCAAATTAAGCTTTATTTTATGTACATTGTATTTCTTTCAATATGTCAACCAGATGATACATGTAACTAAAAAGGTCTATTGGATATTCACTAAAAAAACACGCATCGAAAGATCTATAGGTGAATTCTGCCATAAAATTATGCATTATAAGCATTTATACGTTCAGCAAATCACACAGGGTATTAGGAAATACTTGATACATAAGCCTTCTTGTTTATCTGACTAGCAGTCCTTAGAAAAATGGTTTGTCGTACCTGTTTAGACCAAAGCATTAAGCAGATTCGTCAGTATCTAGACAAGAGTGTATTTATGTGAAGAATAAGGCGGGAAATCCTTTTATCACGATTTAGTAGACAACATTAAGCAGAGGTTGCTAGATTTATCCTCCCTGTTTTATATAGGTTTTTGATTATTTTTTTTAGAGACAGCAGGGATATCGATCTCGAATCTAGCGCACCAAACTTTTCACCAAACGATCAATTCATACGTCTCACCAAGACGTTTGCCCTGTGTACAGCATTTGCCGCCAATACAGGAGGAATGGCGACACTGACTGGAACTCCTCCCAATATAATCCTCAAAACCATAGCAGACGAGTAAGTCTGTCAAAGTAGAAACAAATAAAAAGAACTAATGCGTATTTATGTGTTTAGTATAAAAGAAAGAAATCTGAAAAAAAAACAACTGAATAATGACTATTTTTACCACTATTTCATTCATCATAATAAAAATGCTGATTATACCTTCTTATTTGTTAAGGGTTAAATTTTGATATTGACAATTTAAGAATCTACACAATTTCTGTATTTCTATTTGATTTGAAAAATTGATAGTCGAAAAAATTGTATTTGAATTGACTTGTTTTCTTTGCATTCAGTATCTATGAAAAAAGAGGCTTGCCAGACTCTGGAATCTCCTTTGCCAGTTGGTTAATCGTTGGCTTCCCTCTGTCTCTTATATGTCTGATAATATCTTGGATCTGGTTACAAGTCTTCTATGCTGGTTCAAGGTATAAACTTAATTAACATCGACATGTTTTGGCAAAGAAGCCTGTCCAAGCCAGAACATTTTAAATCTTTTAGCATGGCTAATATTGTTGTCAAGTAGAAAGCACCAATGAAACTATTTTCTGTAAATATTGACCTTTGAATTTACTAAGAGGCGTACATAGTAGTGCACAGAAACAAATTTAGTTTTTAATTGATCTTTACCAAAATAATTTGCACTAATGATGCCTGTTCACTCCACTGATAACAATTGATAATAAATTTTACAGATGCCTAAAAAATGAATCAGATTCTTATGAAAGTGTCAGGGTATATTTAAAGAAGGCTTACAAACGACTAGGACCCATGACGTGAGTATAATTTTATCATGATGTCTTTTTTTAACAGAATAAATTTGACATGAACTTCTGTGAATCACACTAACACTGTAGTTCACAACATTCCCTAAAAATACTATTAATAGTTAACTATAGTTTACAATCATATCAAAGTATTTTTATAGTAATTTTTTTTTTATATTTGCTATGGATTTCAGATTTGTTATATTTTATGCTCTCCAATTCATTCCCCATTAAATAAACTTGTAAATTCAAATATTATTTCCAAATTTGACATCAATGGTATTCAATTTAAGAAAACGAAAGCTTTGAAATATCAAAAAGTTCTAGAGTAGCGTTTCATAGTAAATCAAGTTTTTGCTATAGTTACATGTAACTATTGTAAATAATAGTTAACTAAAGTTTTTGCTATAGTTATATGTAACTATTGTAAATAATAGTTAACTACAGTGAATTTTTATTAAGGTTGGGTCTATTTTTCACCTGTAAACTCTCATTATTTTTTACCTTCTTCTTTAGAATCACTGGGGCAATTAAAAACCGAATACAAAACCATTAAAAAATAAAATAAAAATAAAAAAAACTTGCTACAAAGTATTCTTAGTTAGATGAAGTTCAAGGGTAGATAATCAACAAATAAACGAAATTAGGTGGTTTCATTAACAAGGTTTGCTCCTGAGCTTTTGAGCAGTTTTTTGTCTTAACCTATATTTTCACACAGAGTTATTCTTTACCGTAAATTGTTTTATGCTGGTCCTAAATTATATATCAAATAGACTCTCATGAATTCTATATCATATTTGATAAATATAGCAAATATATTGTGAAATCAAGAAAAATAGCTCTAATTTAAGCTTAAAATTAGCACTATTTAAGTAATATCTAAAAATAAACATAACAACCCCCATGAATTTTCTTTTCTGAATATATAAGATACTTTTAACCATTCTTCTTAAATTCAGAAAAAAATCTTTACTTTCAAATGATTTTATTGCTTGTTGAGTTTTTAATGCCAGAAAAAATATTTTTGAGTGCAAAAATGTCAAATAATTGAACATGCGAAGTATTTTGAAAATTTTTTGTTGTCCTAAATTTTAATATGTCTATTCAAGATGAAATAAGGCGGTGTTTTTTGCCATAATTTACATGTATTTGAATAAAAATATTGGAGGAAAAACTTTAAAAATTGATTTATGTGTAAGACGTATTAACAGTGCAAAAAGGTCAAACTAAATGCTCTGTAGCGTCAAAAGAAGCGCATTGATCCCCATTTCTTGTTTTGATTTTTAATTAAGCTATGTGTGTAGATTTTAAAAATAAACTTGATAAAAAAATTCTCATTACTTTTGATGGCAGGATCCAACCTCCTTAAAAAAATCTTTTTCTTGTGAAAAGACAAAACTGGGGTGAAAGTTTTCTTAACGATTAAGTGTAGGTACAAGTTAATTCAAATACTGGCCCTCAGGGGTAGGGCTATAGGCCACAATAGTAAGAAGAAATTTCAAAGATACACTAGAAAGGTCTCAAGAAAGCAGGACTATGATAAGTGATATTAATCTTCAAGAATTTTTATATCGTGTACATTCAGATTTGTGCAAATCAAGGTACCCAAGGATTGGGACACAACAAAGTATCATCGGCCCTTTTCACAAAAAGTCTTACGATTAAGATTAAAATATGATAACTCCGTAAATTTTGTTCAATAAAAATATCAGTTTTATCTTAAAATATTATTTACAATGTAATATAATACAATAGAAATAAGACGGTTTCGGGTTATTTATTACAGCTAAGATACTTCTTAGTGAAAGGGAAAATATTTATCATAGTTCAAACTTTTTTTTTGTGAAAAGGGCCATTCATATATTCATATGGAATGTATGGGGGCAAGAATTTTTAAATTTCTTTTAATATTCCCCAGATGATGCAGATTCAAGTTTAACTGAAAAGTTGTAGTGTGAGGCTACAATAGGGGGTCAAAATTTCATGGGCAACACATCGATATGCAAACATTTCTAAGTCGTTTAAGTTCAAGTTGATTATGGACCCTGGGGTTATAATGAGGACCAAATAGGGGAACAAACTTTACATAACATAAAGGAAAAAAATTAAAAAAAAATTTTAGAACAACATTGTTATAACTTTTAAGATTGAGATTCAGTATCCACATGCATTAGGAATTCAAGTTTGGTAAAGTTATGACCACTTGGGGTTGGGCACAACATTAGTTCCCAAATCGAGTCTCTGAAGGATTTATTATGAGAAACTCCAATTCCTTTTTCGCAGTCTACATTTATATAAATACATCAGATTTCAGGAGATCGTTGTGCTTATTGTGTTCATCGTCTTAGCATTACTGTGGATGACGCGGAAACCACAGGTTGTACCAGGATGGGGAGATCTGTTCGAAACGGGGTAAATATATCACTCATATTTACGCCATATGTGCGCCAACTAAAATATGTATATTTCAATACAACTTAACGACTGATTTACTTTTTATAGGTACACTGGAGATAGCATTCCTGCAGTATTAATCGCTGCTTTTCTGTTTGCTTTTCCATCTCATATCCCTTTCATAACAAAAGGTAATATTTTGACACGATTCATACATATTATGTAAATTCAATGAAATTCACGATAATAACTCCCCGCTTTAATAAGAGGAACAAAACAACTGTCTTCAGTGTTCAGCTTAACTTAGCCAAGGCTTAAGGTGAGCTTTCTTGTTTGTTTATTTCTCTCAGACCATACAATGGTATATGAGGTACATGAACATATTTACATATATACAAAATACAGTCAAGTAAGGAAGGGTAGTATCAAATGAAAAAGTATTACTGAAAACAGGCCAATATCTTTTTTAACAAACAAAGACAGCTTTATCAGTGAGTCAACATTTGTGGTGGACATAATATTCTCAAACTTATAAGTATTTACATGAAAACAATACTTCTTATCAATAAGTTTCATACGTAATGTGGAAAAGTATGGACACTCCATTACATAATGGAATTTATCACCTAAAGTATTTTTATTACATAAATGACATATTCTTAAAGATCTGTCAGTATTAATCCATCTACCAGCTTTCTCCGTCCTTCTGGTGTCACTCGTTAATCATGTTAATGTGTATGTCGTCTGTTAACTTTTTGTTTTTTCGACCTTTTCTCCAGAACCAGTAGACCAATTCAACCAACCAGAAAGTATCCTTGAGAAAATAAGACTCAATTATGTGAAACAACGCCCTCTTTAAGAAAAAGCAAAAACAAGTTGGGATTGAAAACTCCCAAAAGAATAAAAAATTATATTAACAAAATTTAGAACTTAATCGCAGACTTCCAATGGAAACTGGTAGATAGACTTATACTGAGATAGCTTTAAGAATATGTCATTTATGTAATAAAAACTCTTTAGATGATGAATTCCATTATGTAATGAAGTGTCCACTTTTCTTCATTATGTAGAGAACTTATTGATAAGAAATAAAAATGAGAATCTTAAGTCCATCACAAATGTCGATTCATTGATTAAGCCGTCTTTATTTGTTGAATAAAAGGCCTGTTATATACTACTCTTTCTTACTTCATTTGTATTTTGTATATATATAAATAGCTTCCTGTATATCTTCTTAAGAACCTTTGGAATAGAGAAGACAAAATAAAGTGTTACAAGTGCAAATAAAGGATTTATCAAATATACATCCTTTCATGGGCAGCAGGGCCACTCTTAAATAAAACAATATTAAAATACAACATTCCACGGCGTGATAATTCACTTTTTTTTATATTACTGGCCTAGGGGCTAGGATGAAGCTTAACTTTGGAAGAAATTTATACATAATACGTATACATGAATTTAGGAAAAAAGAACTTTGTCACAAAAACAGTAAGGCAACGCAATTCATCTTGATTCAGTATCCCTATGTACATGTAGTGTGCATTCACGTTTAATTAAGTTAGGATCCCTTGGAGTTCATTAGAGGTTCATTAGAGTATTGAGGAAAATTTTCTTAAAAATCTCCTTAAAAGAACAGCGGGGCAGAGATAACTCAAATGGGCGTTGTCTTATTTCTAGTTCGTATTAGCTACCTTAAGCTTGGTACTAATAACATGGAAGTCTATATGCTCGAATTGGAAGATTAACACATTCGCAAAACTTACTGAAAGCTTTCGGTATTCCTTAGAACGGATTAAACTTTTTCATGAAGATTAAAGGCTGAATTTGTGTTTAAAGAGACGAGAAAAGACGAGGAGGAAGGCAGAACTGTCTCTGATGAGGAAAAATGGAAGTTCCAGCCTCTGTTAGATTGGGAGACGGTGAATCAAAAGATTCCATGGGGTGTTTTGCTATTGATGGGTGGAGGTTTCGCAGTGGCCGCAGCTTGTGAGGTAAGAGACAACACTTCCTTGCAAAATTCAGTATGTAATTTTATATATGGGAGTTCATTTTGTCTAACAACAGCATTGGACCTAAATTACTTCGCGTTATTTGAGTGACAAAATTCAATTTTCAACTAAAATGAATTATACATTTTTTTCTGTTTCTTTTAATTGTCAAGTACATAGATCCTATAAAGTATGTAAAAGATTTATTTTTTTCACTATATAAGCCTGAAATGCGTGGACCTAGCTCTTGTGTTTGAAAAAATATTATCGATATAAGTTGCTTTTAAAAACAACGCACTTGTATCGTTACAATACAAAGGACATGTATTTCATGACTGAATTTATTTCTGATACAAGTAGGTCAGTGAATGTAGCCCCCGCTTCGGGAATACGAGAAATTCCTATCTATAATTTCTATTTTTCATAATGTTTTGAAAATTTGGCTATCCTTTTCGGACACCAAAACAAAAGGTCGCAGAGTAACAGCTACAGTCAATACCACACAATTTATTTACAGTCTTCTGGCCTGTCAGAGTGGGTTAGTGAACAGCTGGCTCTTGTAATGAAGAGCATGTCAACGTATCTGGCAGCGCTTATTCTTTCCATCATGGTAGCTCTAGCAACCAATGTGACGAGTAACTCTGCTACAGCCACCCTCTTCCTTCCAATCGTCGGTGAACTGGTATGATGTAACACGTCACGTGATAAATCTCTGTCATGCTTTGTATCGTATTTTGCTGAGCCTTGGTGGTCACATGGATCCCTTGGATTTATTTTCTTTTTTATGTAATCGAATAATTTTGATCGTGCAAAATTAATAAATTACTACTTATCTGAATTATTGGAAACCAAAAGTCACCAAATTACATACCAAGAAAGGAAAATGAAACATTGTAAATGAGAAAATTAAACACCATGTCTATAATATTTGAAATATTGTATTTAAAGAATGTCATTTTACTTAATTTGAGACTGAAACGATGCGTCATGTCAAGAAAACTTTTATTTTAAATTGTAGGCAATTAGTTTGAAAGTGCACCCTCTTTCCTTCATGATTCCAGTAGCGATCGCGTGTTCTTTTGCATTTATGTTACCTGTAGGGACGCCACCTAATGCCATCGTATTTTCTACAGGTTACCTGAAGGTCAAAGATATGGTATGTGTGTTAATTGATATATGTATCTTAAAACTAATGATTGGTGAACATTTTTCCAGTAAATGATTATATATGCTAATTTAATGTTTTAGTATCGTATTTCTTATACACATGTATGTACATGTTGGTTTCTTAATTATGACCTTAACCTTTATCTAGGTGATTGCTGGTTCATTCATTAATTTGGTCACTGTGTTGGTGCTGATTCTGGCCATGGTGTTATGGATTACACCATTTTACAATTTAAACGAGTTTCCAGAAGGGTTTTTGAAGACAGCAATGAATGAGACTATCGTGGATCTAAACATTACGTCAGTAAACAACGCATCAAATTATGTTTCGTACAACATCACATCATCATAATTTTTGTTAATTGATATCCAGAACGTGTTCAAATAATCAACGTTTGGTGCATCTTTAAAATCTGAATTACTAGTATTAGAGTAACAAGTATAATATATATAATTATTAAAAATCAAAATTAAATGGATTCAACGGTCACTTGCCAAAACTATTACTAGTATCTTATGCAAAATCTGACTGTTGTTTTTGTGTGATGAGTACTAATATTTGCAAAACTTTAATTTTAGATAGTTTTTGCTTATGTTTTACATATTTTTGATAAATTTTCAAATCACTGATCACTACCAGCTATGAAAATCATAATCTGTGCAAAATACGAAAAAAAAACCCAAAGGATTTGTGATTAAAATTGACAATGAATTTAGTTTAATTCATAAATACATGTATTATATATTATTCCAACCTTTAAAGAGCACATTGTTTGCAAGCAATCTGTATATAGCAACAAATGCTGTATTTTACTTGAAAAATAACAAATAAATTATATACTGACAGTTTAGCCACAGCTATCAAACTTTGAAATCCGATTGCTGACACAAATGTTTGTAAGTAAGAATCATTTATTTTTGTACATGACATTTTTTGTTCTATGTCTTTCATGGATAAAACATATCTTCACAACTGGTATCCAGTATTCACATTAGGTTAAAAGTATAACCATTCTTGATATATGAAGCATGGTTACAACATACAATTTTTGTTATATTTGCGTTAATCTTTTGCCATAAAATATATATGTTATTTATTGTCGTTTTATTTTTAATACTTGTACATGCTGTATATCATTCCTTTTTCTACATACTTATTTTACAAAACATTCATAGTATAATATTATTCACTTTTTACATACTTGTGATTGATTCTGCATCTTACCCGATCAAAAATACATGGACATGTAAAACAATGAACAAAACATAGTAACACCAGCAAGAACAATTATCATCAGACAATTTGTTATAGTAAAATTGTAACAAGTATAGAGAAATGTGGGAGGGTTTGCCGAACAAATAAAAAAGATGGTACAAGGGTAAAAATGAACAAATGGTTTATAGGGATAAAGGGTGTTCTTTAAAGGGGGAGACACTGACGAGTTTTGAATGTGGTCAGAGAGTTAAAGTGCATTTTTTGCTTTTTTGGTGTCATTATTTTCTGCGTCTGTTTTGTAATGCTATTTTTCATTATAATTGTATTCAATGAACTTCAAAAGCTTGTTATTATATTTTTTAAATCTGTGATTCAATTTATTGAATATGGTTTTGTAGAATTAGAAATTGTTCTGTGAACGATACATATGCATATTTTTATATTGTTAAACATGAAGAGAGCTTTAATAGATTATGAAAATAAAGTCTTGTGTTGGTTTTTGTTCTGTTAGGTGATGTAAAACTTTGAAATACAGTTTAGTCTTGAATTTTCGCATTCACTTTGGATACCTCAGTCATGCCGGGAATTAACGTGCTAATGAATAAAATATGCCAAACTGATCATCATTAAAAATTTCTGTTTCAGAGTTTAAAGATTTCTGTTTCCTTTGCAATTCTGTCAAATTATCTCTTTGAAATATGGGTAGTAGGATAGGATAATCGTTTAAGTAAGAAAGCATTAAATGACACTGTTTTTCACTCATTCATGTAATAATGACGAGATAAAAATTCGTTCATGCGACTTTTTAAATCATTATTTATGAGATAACTAAGAGACCAATATGCCTTGACGGTCACCTGAGTATCATGTATCTCTAAAGCTATCCCCACTCCGGAGCTTATACTTGACTCATGTGACTTGCCTCACCTTGAGCTTGACTGCTACTGGACCCAAGGACAATGGATTTTATTTTATTTTTTAAGAGATAGCTGCTCATTATAATCATGCAAACAATTTGCCTGCTTAATGTATATGTCTTCTTCTTCTTCTTCCAATAAAGTACTGATCAGAACTTCTGATATTTCGTACTGGCGCATGGTGGTGCGAGGAAAACAAGGTGATTTAAAAATAAGATAAACTATTTACAGTGCAGGTAAAATAGATTGGTTGGTTTACGGTCGGATGATGTGGCTAGATAGCTTCGATTTGAAGCTATCTAGGGAGGTGGTGGTAACCAAGGATGTTGGTAGAGAGTTCCACACTCCAATACCATCTGGGAAAAATGACTTCTGGTACACTAGGGTTCTGGCATAAGGAACCAGGAACATCATGCTGTTTCCTCGGGTTGTAGTGGCTGGAAACAGGAGGAGTGGTGGAATGTCGATGAGCTGGTACACTATGCGGTACATCATAACAGCTTTTGCTTGACCACGTCGCTCCTGTAGAGATGTCCAACTCAGCTGTTTTAATATGTCCGATACGCTGCTAGTTGTCCTATAGTCGGATGTTACCATGCGGGCAGCTCGTCTTTGGACCATCTCCAGTTTGCCAATACTCTCCTTGGTGTAAGGATCCCAGATGTTGCTCCCGTATTCCACGATGGGCCTGACTAAGGTCTGATAGCATAGAGCCTTTGTTTCTGATGGACACTGGTGTAGATTGCGTCTCAGAAAGGCAACGGTGGAATTGGCCTTCTTTGCAATGATGTCAATGTGGTGGTTCCACTTCAGGCCTTGATGAAGGTGGATTCCAAGGTATTTAGCTGTTTCTACTACCTCGAGGACATGACCGTGGATAACATATGGTACATTGACCACCTTCCTTTTGTTGGTAACATGTAAGACCTGACATTTGCCAGGATGAAATTCCATCATCCATTCGTCCTCCCATCTCTGAAGTCCATCAAGGTCTTTCTGGAGCTGTATGGCATCATCCTCATTTTTGATGTCTCTATATAGAGCACAGTCATCTGCAAATAGGCGGATTGAATTTTTGGATACATACTCTGGCAGATCATTAATAAACAGAAGGAATAGGAGTGGTCCAAGGACACTCCCCTGCGGTACTCCAGATTTTACTGCAGCTGTACCTGATGTTTTTCCCTCTAATAGAACTTGTTGGATGCGTCCACTTAAAAAGTCCTCTATCCATTGCAGGTGACAGCCTCTAATCCCATAATAGCTCAACTTGTACAGGAGGCGCTGGTGGGGGACCTTGTCAAAAGCTTTTGAAAAATCTAGCAATATGACATCTGTCTGACCCTTGTTGTCTAAGTTTTTAGCCAAATCCTGTACTGTTAATATAAGCTGGCTTTCACAGGAGCGGCGTTTCCTGAAACCGTGTTGTGCATCATGCAAGATCTTGTGAGTATCTAGGTGGTCCATGATGTTACTGACCATGATATGTTCAAGAAGCTTGCATGTGACTGAGGTCAAGGACACCGGTCTATAGTTCTCAGCTTTGTCTTTGTCCCCTTTCTTGTATATTGGCACAACATTTGCAGACTTCCAATCAGTTGGTATTGTACCCTGGTTAACTGATGCCTGGAAGAGTAGTTGAAATACTGGGGCTATCTCATCTGCAAACTCCCTCAATAATCTGAATGGGACATTATCAGGACCGGTGGCCTTGTATGGATTAAGGCCGACAAGGAGTTTCCTAATTCCACCAGTACTGATGTTGATTTCCTTCATGTCCTGGAATAGTGAAGGACCCTTATCTGGGATGTTATCGATTCTTTCCTCTTTGATGAAAACTGAAGAGAATTGTCCATTCAAGATGTTTGCTTTCTTCTCACTGTCTGATTGTACTACTCCATGCTTATCCTTGAGTGATGAAACTCCTGATGACTCTGTTCTTTTACCTTTTATGAAACTCCAAAAACGCTAAGGGTTTGAGGATGCATCAGGGCTGATGATGTTCTTAATATACTCGTTATAAACACTCTGGCAGGTGTTTTTAGCCTCTTTCTTTAGACTCTGATATCTATCCTTATCCCTTTTCTTCCCTGTTTTTCTAGCCTTCCTGAAGCTTCTGTTCTTCTGTCTAGTAATCCTCTTTACTGTGTTGTTAATTCAGGGTTGACTATATCGAGTGGATGCAAGTTTGGAGGGAATGTGATCCTCCTGGATAGTAAGAAGGTTGGTCTAAATGGAATTCCACATCCCCAGCACTGAGCTAGACAAGCTGAAATCATGGACAAAATTATCACGGAATTCTCTCAATTTCATAAGGATGGTACCTAGGTCAGCTCTTTTCCATAAGTAGATTTTACGTGGAGTTGGTTTTACACGTTTAGGAGAGACACTCGATATGATATGGACGATATCATGATCAGCTAACCCTGGGGCAGCTTCACATCGACTCACTAACGATGGTCTGTTAGTCAAGAAGAGGTCCAGAGTTGATGAATGGCGTGTTGGAAAGTCAACCATTTGATCTAAGCTACAGTTGAGTGTACACTGTATGAATCGTTGGTTAATAGCAGATAAGCAACGATTTCCATTTATAGATTGTATTGACCAGTCTATGTCGGGGAGGTTGAAATCACCTCCAAACCATAACACTGATTTCTTGTGTTTAGATGATATACTTTCTAGTTGGTTGCACATTTCCTCCATGTACTCAGGTGGTGAGCTTGGTGGTCTGTATAGTGCCCCAACAAGAAGTGGAGGTTGATTTCCAAATGACAGTTTGGCAAAAACACTTTCTGTGTTTCCCTTGATGTTAATCTGTTCACTGATGAAATCGGATCTTATTGCTAATACAACACCCCCATGGCCATCAGGTCTATCTCTTCTATAAATGTTATAGTTTTTAGGAAATAACTCTGAGCTATGTATGTTGGTATTGAGCCAGGTTTCTGTTCCTATTAAGATGCTTGGATTATATGTTTCAATCAGGTTCGCTAGTTCGGCTTTTTTGTTCTTCACACTTTGAAAGTTTACATTTATGATGGTGAAATCATTCCAGGTGTTGACCCTCTGCTTCCTACCATAGGTGGTGCATTTTGGTGAGGAGCATACTGCAGGATGGCCTGGGTCTAAGGACTCTGTAGTGTCGTCAAGGCTACTAAAGGTGTTGTAGCTTGGATTTGTTGTTAACGAATCAAAGAAACTTGATGTAAATTGCGGCATACCGCATGACACACAATGCCAGGAAATGTTGGGGTTTCCAAGGCACTCGTACACAGTAGTGTTCATCCCCATGCATTCTGTATGGTGCCAAAGCTTACAGTCATCACATGCTACTGCCTTTGTTTTCCATGTGACAGCTTTTAGACATACCTGGCATGGGTATTTTGGTGTACGTGGTCCTGGGTTTTGCTCAACATCTGATGCACAAATGATAAGGATGAAGCTTATGTATGCTAAGGAGTGTAATTTACATTGTATATAACACTGTTTACGTTGTGTAGCGATTGGATGATGCAATTTGTACAACTTACTTACAACCATGTTGTTGATGCTACATCTTCTTATGTTGTATGATTCACTGACATAAGTATCATTTTCATTTTACTTAATAACTAGATTTCTGCCAAGGGTTGATATCAAGAGTAACATGTACAGAAATATATCTACTTTCATTTTCAGGTTGTTTACATTGACTCCGGAAGTTGGCTCAGCACAAAGGGTATACACTTCAGATTTCGTTTAGGCAGCCATAGTCATCAAAAGTGTTAAAAATCTCTGTGCAGACATATCCTGGTTTATATCTTGTCGACCATGTACAAAGGAATCTATCTGATCTGCCGTAATTTTAGAGAAAATTAATGATTTAGGCTGTTCAAAAAATTAAGCCCTCCTTACACCACGCATGCGCAGGAATAAATATACATGTATTTTCAAATATTTCCATTTCTATTTGTTTTCTCTGTGATAACTCTTTGAAAGTTAGGAGAGTTGATTTCTTGATCATTCTAAAGGAATGCAAATTTTGCCAAGCGAAAGGTCAGTAGATAAGAAGGCCTAATATGCATGTAATACGTTCTATTTCCACTATGGAAGAGTTATACTTCTTAGTGCGCTCTTTTGTGAAAAAGTCGGAAAATGTACAAATCTCGCGGGATTTCTGGGACAAACGTAACATAAACATGTAAACAATATGTTGAATGTCGATGAACAGTTCCTAAGGAAATATTTTATTGTTATGGACTTTATATACATCAAGAGTAGGAATGACAACGATATCAATTTATATCTATTGTTGATAGTATGTATCTATTTATCGTATGGTACATCTAAATACAATACACATGCCTCGGAAATGTCGTATTTTTTATTTATGGATGATAAATTTAGGGTTCTCGCTCTCTTACATATGTCTTTTAGTTCTTCTATTCTTTAATTGGAATGACAAATACATTTAACATTTAAAATTGGATTGAGATTGGCATGTTTTGTATTATCCGCCACGCGATGCTGTCCCAGTCAGACGACCAAACGCACCTCTAATTTTGAAGAGTTCACTAATGGAAATAGAACGTCTCATGCGGCTGTCTTTGTGTTTGACGTCAGTGGGCGGGAACTATTGAAATTGATATGTGAGGCCTCGTGTAATTTAAATCTATTAGTCTACATTTTCAAAATCTAAAATTTACAATTTTATTTCAAAATGAAATGGAAATATAAGGAATCACTGTCTAGTTAGTAGAGTATGCCAGGGACATCAACGATAGTTGGAAACGTGGGATAATTTATGCATAACGGGCTTCGCCCGTTATGCAAAATATCCCACGTTTCCAACTATTGTTGATGCCTTGGCATACTCTACTAACTAGACAGTGATTCCTTAATAAATGACTAACTAAGTCCCAATATGGGACCAGGACCCGTTTTACAAAAGAACTTACGACTAAGAGCAAAAATGTTTATGCGAATTACTCAGTATTGTCTTCTTAACATTAACTTGAAAAACGCATTTAACCCATTTTAAACATTCGGAAATATATTTATAGAAAGTAATTTTTATCTCAAATTATATTGGGTACACAAGAAGTTACAAACAACTAAATTTATCGATCTTAGTCGCAAATTCTTTTGTAAAACGTGGCTCTGAGCCCATAGACAATGAATTTCACACTTTTTGTAGTGCTTATACATGAAGCTTATCATAAATAATCATACAAGCAGTTTGTTCAAGTTTTTTGAAGAATGAATTATTTTTAATGATTTTGGCCCCATCTCCTAGGGATTAAGAAGCAGAGACAATGAAATTAATTGTTGTTTTCCCTTTCCCATACATCCTATATACAAAAATTATGAAATTAATTCAGTTTCAAAATAAGCTAAAAAGTGTTCTTTTTTTTTTTGAATGGTGCACAAAAGAAGACGATCAAAAAGAGACGAGTGACGCAATGTTATGCTATGGTAATATACCTCGTTGAAACGACTTTAAAGTCCAAACAACAACTTTTTATCTCGTTTTACGAACATTTTCCTAATTTGACCCTTCTAGGCTTTTGTACTTTAGTCTTAGTCACTTTAAAAGACAATCGGATTGATTGAAAGATTGTACTACTGTATACTGGAGTATTTCTTACCCGTTTTATTTCTGCCCTCTTTTGTTTACAGTGGATGAATATTAAATAATTGAATAGACTTAAATATTGACTGTAATAATGTTCATGTGGCATCACAGAGACCCTGATTGCACACTGGGCGCCCCGTAGGACAGTCTGAACAGGGCGGTCCTTCAGAATATGGTTCTAGGGATTCGTTATAGCTGAAATATACATTGAAAGATTTATGCAAAGCGATGGCATAGTAAGCATCATGTATTTTTTTTCTTTTTAAGTATTTAAATTTACTTAGTATAAACTTTTCAAAGAAATTTAATTTTTATATATTTTTTTTCAAGAATAATTTAGGGTCGTTGAAGAAATCTTTGTGGTTGGAGTAATATGATTTACAAATATTGCGTACTATACTAAGCAATAAAACATTTTCTGCCTGATATGACGTGAGAAAAAAGTGTAGAATTACCCATCTCCGTAGTTACACACAAAAATATGTGCATTTCTATAGTTACGTCCTTTCACTGTTTCACAAAGGGAGGTCCCACAACCAATAGCAAATGAAACATCCTTTACCATCTAAAACAAGTTAAAAACAGAAAGTAAAACCTAACCAAATTGTTTAGAAGATGAATTGATACACTCCACACCTTTCATCGTTCATGACCATATGGTTCAATGTAATCCATGGACAATTAAATCAAAAGTACATTTCGGTTTATTTGTTATTTACCTGAATGTAGTGACCACATCCCTTTGGACAACCGTAAGGATTCCGATAATCATATTTGTTTTTCTCTCCCCACCATCTGTGCAGGACTTTAGAAATGTTCAAAGGTACTGTAAATAATTAGTTATCATAGTTACTATAAATACTTTTGTAAATAATGTTTATAGATGAAACTATGATGAAGATGAAATGATCAAATACAATTCAGAGCTGTTTACTATGCTTTATATCGTGTTTATAATTGAGAAAAAAAAGTCTGTCTACTAGTATAAAGAACATATATTAATAGCAATTAACACATTTTGAATCAACAGTAAGGTCGATTGATGTTAAAATTCATGAACATCAAATAAATAGTAAGATATAAATCATATGTACTAAGAAAAGGGATCTTAAAGTATTACGTGTCTTTTGGACAAGGACACCATTTTCATACTCTGCCACCCAATCCCAAGTGTGATGAATATTCTCTCCGACATTCCGGAAGTCTGCCCATTTCCGTTTATGTCGGTCTGCATTGTGTGTACCAGAACACGTTTCTGCATACTTTTGGGCCAATTGTTCGAGGGTTGTGTCCCAGCTCTAAATGTTAAATTTTACAATAAATCAACTTTCGATTTTTATGCCCCGGGATCGAAAGATCCCGGGGGTATATTGTTTTTGTCCTGTCTGTTTGTCTGTTGTCAACTTTAACCTTGCCCATAACTTTTGATTGATTGGAGCTATGACTTTCATATTTTACATGTGTATTCCTTGTGACATGATTTTTCTTTGGCTACCATCATATTTGACCTTTTGACCTTCCTTTGGATACCAACAACTTTGACCTTTTGACCTTGACCTTGGAGTTTGACCTACTTTTGGAAAACTTTAACCTTGGCCATAACTTTTAAAAGGTTGGTGCTAGAGCTTTTATACTTCATATATGTAATCCTTGTGACAAGACCTTCCTTTGGATACCAACAACTTTGATCTTGTCCTTGACATTTTACTTACTTTTAAAAAACTTTTACCTTCACCATAACTTTTGAACAGTTGCAGCTAGGGCTTTCAAATTTCACAGGTATATTCCTCTAGACGAGACCTTTCTTTGGGTACCAACATTTTTTTTTATCTTTTGGGCTGGATTTTGACTTGCATTTAAGAAATTTTAACCTTCGCCATAAGCTGCCATACGGGGGCATCAGTGTTTCACAAACACATCTCGTTTTTTCTAGAAATAGTTATGTGTAAAAAAAAAAAAAAAGGGAGGGGAGGGGGGCTCAATTACCATTTTCTTCATATTTGACGCGCTAGGTGTAACACTTCTTCGTATCTTGTTATGTAAGTCCACAATCTGCCTTTTCTGTGCTTCAGTAAGTTTTGACGAAGTTGTGCTGCTAGAGTATGCTTTCTCTCTCGTGTCTTCCCTGTGTACAGAAGAACTTCTCTGAGACCCCCATTGTCCAGCAAACGATCTATCACTTCCTACGTTCAACCCTATCGAACTTCTCCCTCTGTTCTGATTCAACGGATAAATGTTTTTCCTATGAAAAGAGACAGGAGCATTTTCGGATGTCCGAGAGTGACTTCTTCGAGAACTCCAGATTATAGGGACTGTATGATGTCGATGAATTAGTTGAGTGTTACCTGCCAAGTTACTTCTTTGATGCATATTTCGAGGGGAATGACTCGATCTAGTGTCATTCACCCAAGTGATTACCAGTGGCAATTTACACTGGCAAATTTTCACAGTCAATACCAACAAGATCCACAGTAAGCAGTGCATTATCAGTCTATTTTTCAGCTGCTACATTCTACCCTAGAATGTAATATAATCTCAAAATAATAAAATTCTGTACAATATGCATATTATTTCCGTTTAGCTATCATCATCATGTATTAAATCTCTTCGACATCTAACAGACTGTATTATTCTTAAACCATGTAGTAATTTTAACTGATTTTTTTTTTATCAACTTTTGTGTTGCAGAGTAAATTTTCTTTCATTGCAAACCAGAAAAGATGCCAATAACCTGAGAACCGACTAATTTGAAAACTAAATTAAAATTACCTTAATTGATGCCAAAGTACGATTCATCTTCCGCTGATGACCATCCTTTTACACTGCAACAAACTTAATATAGTCCAACATTGCATGACTGCATTATTACTTCTTACATATATAAATAAGACGGACTCTGAATTGTTAATCACTTCTCCGGTGACAAATACATGAAAAGCCATGGGCCTTTTCTTCATGAATCACCGTGTGGAACAGTCAGTGAAAAATAGGTCAAGATCTGTCTAATTTATTGCAAATGCACTAGAAATTATTAAAACAGCTAATGAAAGCGTAACTTTTTGTTAAAACAAAATCCGTGTCGTTTCAAATTTTCATGCTAGAAAAACTCCGTGTAAAATATCAAATGCATTTGTTAACTTTCTAAAACAATATATACATGTTGATGAAATAATTTAGATGTCTACCTGATAGATTTTGCATTTTCAGCATTATGTCAACCAAAGAGATGCCCATTTCAACATGTTATCTTCAAACATACACAAAGAGTTGAGACAGTCTAGATCTGTCAAAAGTTAGGGTCTGATGTCTTCATTGTAAACAAGACACATTTAATTTTCCACGTCAACTTGCAGACAGTTCACAGGTTAATATGTTATGAGCATGGAAAGAAACAGGATATAAAAAATAAAATTTTCATGTAATGTATCTCTTTTATTTCAAGTACAATCTTATACAGGATAAACAAAAATGTTTCGAGCGCCTTCACTTCTAGAGGTAAACTGGTACTTAGCTATCGTCGGTATAACACAAATATGTGTAAATTTGAACACAATTTCTTGAAAACTTTATAAAGGAAAACACTGAACCTTACAATTAGTACGTTTTCCCATATCTTTTTAAGCTGATTTGGAGGTAATTGAGGACTCTCTATACACTACTAAAATGATTTTGAACATCGAGAAAATTATAACGATTGAAATATTGCGTTGATCTTTTTTCATTTTCAACAGAGCTAGGATACCTTCCATTTTGCCTCTGGAAAAATGTTCAAATTAAGTCAAAAAAATATTGATGAACAGAATCCTCAGCCAGGAAGGATAACTCTCAAATTTATCATTTTATTTAAAATGTCTCAAAATGAAGCTTGAAATTGAGATATTTTTGTGCAACAATTTTCATTTTATGCATCTCAATATGATTCAAGGTTCTTTCAAGTCTTAGAAACGGTCTTGTAAAAGGATGACATTTGTACCCGATAAAAAAATAAATTCATTTTTAGAGAAATCGAATTTCCTTCAATCTAGCATTAGATACCAATGCTTATTAGCATGACATCAAATTCAACGTAATCTGTGAGGTCTAGCAATGAAAGCACAAGCTTTTCACACCATGTTTTATATAACAAATGAAGTAAAAAGAACTAAAATACTGTATAAGCATTAAAAAATGCAATTTTCTCCAAATGCCCGAATGCCTATATTTTTTTTTATCCTAAAATATATTTGTTGATCAATTTTCAATTATAAAATGGTAGCTGGTGTTTTTATTCGCACCCCATTCCCACCCCCTTTCCCCAAGAAATTTTGGGTACGTCTTATTTTTAATTCAATCAATATATTTTTAAGTCGGATTTTTTTTAGTGAGTAATATGTACTCCCCTCCCTCCAAAGGAGAAATGGAAAAATTCCTGGACCCACCCTTGACTTTATTTACTCAATTACAAATATTATTAATAACAATTCTGGACCCCGCATCAAACTGTTCACTGGAATCCATCTTCACTTAAAATGTTTTTATTTAAGAATAAAAAATGCCGAAAAAAGAGTCCACCCATACAAAACTGTAAACAACTATCAAATCACTCACGAAGTATAATGAAAAAAAAAATGCCTGTCAACAGAAAAGCGAATATGAAAATGTGATGTCAGCCTATAAGCTGTCAAAAAATCAATTTGATTCCAAATATGAAGAAAACCTCCCTCTGAAATCCAAACTATCGAGTAGTTTTAGCTGCTTTAGCCAGAAAAAAGAGGTCTCACGGGACATCTATGCAACCCTCAGGACAAGAGGCCCATGGGCCACATCACTCACCTGAGCACTTTGGTTAGAGAAAAGCAGATATCAGTTCAGTATTGAAAAGTTTAAATGTATAAGAGGTCCCATCCTACCTGGGAGGGGCATGGGAGGGGGGTCATGATCTGAAAAAAAATTGAATCTACACTAACTGAAGATGCTTCCATATAAATATTTATATTATTCGCTTTAAAAGATTTTTTAATATAGATTTTCTCTTATATATTCCTATGTAAGAGTCAAATTTTCTATTGTGGCCCATCCTACCCCCGGGGATCATGATTTGAACAAGCTTAAATTTACACTACCTGAGGATGTTTATATATTAATATAAGCAAACATGGCTTTGCTGTTCTTAGGGAGGAGATTTTTAATTTTTTTCCCCCATATATTCCCATGTAAAACTTTGATCGCCCATTTTGACCCCATCCTAGCCCCAGGGGTCATGATTTGAAAAAAGGAATCTACACTACCTGAGGATGTTTCCATATTAATATGACCCTTCATGGTTTTGATGTTTTTGAAGAGAAGATTTAAAAAAAAAATTATCCTATGTATTCCTATGTAAAACTTTATTGTCCATCATGGCCCAACCCTAGACGCAGGGGTCATGATCTGAAGAAAAAAATCTATACTACCTGAGGATACTTCCATATAAATATGACTTGCCATGTCTTTGCTGTTCTTGAAAAGAAGATTTTTAAAAAAAAAAATTATATATATATATATATATATATATATATATATATATATATATATATATATATATATATATATATATATATATATATATATATACACACACATGTATATATATATATATATATATTTATTTATTTATCTATTTACCCATGTAAACTGTTATCTCCCATTGTGGTCTCGCCCTAGCCCCCAGGGGTCATGATTTGAACAAACTTACACTATGTAATAAGTTTCATCTTTTTTGTTCCATTGGTTATTGAGAAGATTTTTTTTAAGGATGCCTTTAAATTTCCACTAATTCTTAATTATTTCTCCCTGAAAGAAGGTGTGGTCCTTCGTTTGAACAAACTTTAATTCCCTCCACCCAAGGATGCTTTGTGGGAAGTTTGGTTGAAATTGGCCCAGTGGTTTTTGATAAGAAGTCGAAAATGTGAAAAGTTTGCAGACGACACACGACAGACGGAAGCCGAACATTCTTTGATTAAAAAGTTCACTTGAGCCTGCGGCTCAGATGAACTAAAAAGCAATACAGCCTTCAAGAAAACGCATCTAGAACCCAGAAAGTCTACAGCATTATTACTGGGAACTTCAAACAACAGTGGAATAAGACCAGATAAACTAACAAAATCTGTAGATGTTACTAAAGGTACATGTACGGCATACACACTCGATGAGGCAACAACCAAAATCGAAATGTGTGAAACCAAACCTGATGTAGACTTACTATATGCATCACCAATGACATTCAGGAATATACCCCCGAACTCGGAAAACCATTCACCTTATTTCATGTAAATGGAGCAACATGAAGACCACAGTTTCCCTTACAACTCCTAGAATGGACGAGAAAATACACAAGTAAACTCGGAAATTCTTGATGGTTTAATAGAAAAAAAAATATCTTACCGATTCTCAGAAGGATGTGCTAATTAGTAAAAATGCCATCTACGGCACAGCAATAATCAAATTCTTAAGCCTGAGAAGTATCATTTGTCAGACCAGGGTATACGTCAACGCTAGCAGCAAACTTTTAAAAGCTGTTAAGAATAGGCTTCACTCAACCTTAGAATAAAACAATCCCAACAGAATTTGACAAGCCCCAAAATACAAAGGAGGGGAACCAATCAACATTATTGAAATTCTTATACTGGTAATGGTGGCAACAGAGGGGGAAGAGGTTATTCTTAAAACATATCTTAGTATTCTGGGTCAGACACCTACATGTATAACTAAATGTAAATGTATTTAATTCCACGTGTTCAATATTTCATGATTTTCTATACTGGTACATATGGTTCTAATTTTACGGACACTAAATTTTTCATTATTAAATACTTGTAGTTTCTAACAAATATTACTTAAAAACGAAGAAAGTTATGGTAAACTATATATAATATTTTAGGAAACTGGCTTTAAACAGCTGTTGTTATTAACGTGGAGTTTCCAAATGATTATCTATGGTTAACTGTTTTACTGATATGGAAAATTATAGTATTTTACATGTAAGGTGTATGGAAAGTACTTGTATTTAAAACAAAATTGATATTTTGATAATATTCACAATGGCTTATGTTCGCAGAAAATTCTTTGTGAACATAGTGAAATTAAAACCATCGCATGGTATTCCACTTTCACAGTATGCAGGTTAATGATCAACTTAGTGCAATTTAAATTAAACTTTTTTTTTACCAATATGCCTAACGTTTTCTCAATTTCCTCATTATTGAGAGAGAGAGAGAGAAAGGCGAGAGTCAATATTTACTATTTATTAATTAAATAAAATAAGAAATGATTCTTATAGTAAGTCATTTGTAATATGTATATATACATCTCATATAATTTTTTTTAAGTTATCAAAATATTTTAAGTCCATTTATTATCATTTCTTTGTTATAAAAACATAGTCTGTAGTATTACAATATTTAAGAATTATTATGTATGGGGATCTCTATCCCAGTTAGGACATTCCTAATCGAGCTTCTATGTCTTAGAACTCTCTTAGGACTATTCTAAGTTTTGTCCTAAGACATATCTTATGTCACAGGTCTTAATTAAATCATAGTCTTGGGACTATTCTTATATTTTGTAATCTCTTATTTGCTTTACATTCATGTTGTTTTGTCTTTCTAGATATAGAAAAAAAGTTCCAAAAAGTTTTAATAATTATTATATAACTAAACAACACTTGTGAGAGCGCTTCTGCATCTATATACATGTACAAGTTGTGTTAATTTTTTTAAGGACTATAAATAGTAGTATTGTTTTGCTACATCCAGGTCACATTTAAAAAAGTTATTATATTCCGAAGATTTTTAAATACAATTCTGTGAATCAAAATGGTTGAAATCATGGGATTAATGTTTATACTTGTAAACGTCCCTAAAAAGGGAATTATTTCTCTGGAAGAGAAAAGTATTTCAGAAAAGAATTGTGGCCCATGTAACTCTTTGTAAATGTTTGTTCTAACTTTATGATTTTAAATTATTCAACTAATAAACCTTTTCAGCACATCTATAAGACAATTGCGTTTTTTATGAAGCTGGGCATGAGTTCAATCACTTTACTGTCTTTTGAATGACATATACCGTCTGAAAGTAATACTTCTGCTGTCACTAAAAAGTAATACTTCTGCTGTCACTAAAAAGTAATACCTCTGCTGTCACTAAAAAGTAATACAATATTGTCACTAAAAAGTACGAGGGGTGATCAAAAAGTTCGCAAACTAATTGAATTACTTCAAAAATGAAATAAAATTATGTTTCAGTGTGTATTATTCTTCTGTTTTAATGCACATCTGCCACTGTTCTGCCCATGCGTGAAACACGTGGTCCAGGCAGTCAGGTGACATGCTCAGTAACGTTCTGTTCATAACAGTTAAAAGATTTGTCCTAGTCTTACATTACCATGCGGGTTATTTATTATAACAAGAGTAATTCATTTGTCAAAAATGGCCAAATCTCGGCAATAGGATGGGTGGATAAGGATATCTTTTACCAGAATGAGCATGGTGACCATCACAACCCGTCTCTTCTGTCTTGGATGCGTCGTTTTTAATGTGAATCAAGTATGGGCGCGTTCTCTTATCATATTCTGATATGTTTAAAGTCGAAAGTAAATGATATTTTCGGGATTTAATAATTATTTTATTGTTAAGATATTCAACTATTCTTCTAACTGTAACTTGACGATCTTTTATAACGAATTGCTCAAGTAAAGACATCTATTTCCCAGCATACTTTCAATGGGCACCAGAACAAGCCTCATTTTTAACTATCTCCCTTCCTTCACTAAAACAATCAATCCAATTAATGATTGAACTTCTTGCAAGTCATTTGTCTCCACAAATCATGTACAAATTATTATATGCCACTGTAAAGTAAGTTCCAAGATATGTTAAACTTTACAGCTGTTCCTTGCTCGAGTAAGACTGAGTCACCCATTTTTCGTCACAAGTCACCTACATATTGACGTCATAAACATGGACCAAAATATTACATAGCATCTGCTATTATAGAACATGTTTATAACTATTTGTTTGCCAAATTTCATTCTGATCTAAGTTGTGGTTTTGTAAATATAGAGATAGTTCACAAACTTTTTGATCACCCCTCGTAATATATCTGCTGTCACTAAAACTAAAGTCAATTTAAAAACAAAGAAAAGTATTCTGAAAAGAGTAAAAGGCTGTTTATAATTTTTACAGAAAAGCTATGTAAAATATATCTCAATTTATAAAATGTTAAAAATCAAATTTCTAAATTTGATATGTTGTAAATACAATATCAGATATGTAAAGATCAAAATGCATAGGGTATATATACTATCTAAATGTGTTGTAGAATTGACAAAAATATCAACAATACATTCTTGAATAAAAATACAGATTAAACCACATTGACAAATATTTTTAAAAACAAAGAGAAAATATTTTCTACTCTCTAACAAATAATTACCTATACTATGGGACTAGGTATGAAATTCATTACGCTATTGGACTGCTATTACATGTCACTACTAAAAAATACAAAGTTACGACAAACCTCTGCACAGAGAATTTCCTGTATTTTTTATGATTGGTGACAATAAACATTAACCACTCTATAAAAAAAAGTTTAGATATTTTCATTGAATATTGAAAAATTACTCATTGAGAAATATATTCTGAAAGCTCTATTGGGCTTTGATATGTACTATCTCACAATGCAAGATGACAGGGGGAAACTTGAACTCATGAAACATTTGACATTTTCTGTGTCAGATCTAGAGGTACCAATATTGCTGGATCTATTGCTGATCTATTGCTGGAGTGAATCAGTTCGTTTGTATACTGTATGTATTTTTTCTAGATTTTCATATACCAGTATCTTCTATAACATGCTATTCCTGAACAAAAATCTATCATTAGGTGAAACTGTATTAAATTGCACATTTCTGCTGCGTCCAACTGTCATTACGACTCCTTATTCATTTCTTTTTCTGCCTCCTCTAGAAGACTCCACATAGTTAGAATCTATAAAGAGGTCAAAAGAAAACATAAAATTCAAAGCCAAGAAGTGAAAACATTAATAAAGAATATTTCCTGCTATTAATATGCCCCAAGTCCACCTCCTGTTAATAAAGAAAATTATTTTATGGGTTTATCTTCAATGTCTTGCTACTTCCCTATGACAGAGTAAAAACACATTAATGGCACTCCTACTTAGCTTATCTATTTTTAATCAAATGTGTAAATAATGCATGAAAATTAAATATTCACATTTATACCTTTTGTTGAATATCTGTTTGATTATTACCATCCATATTAGCTTTTTCTTTGGCTTTTGTGCAATATTTCTTGGCCTCTTCAATGTCACCAACCATTGCAAGACAGTAGCAGACCTTCATACACAAAGAAAATATCTGATTTAGATTAATCTGATAATTTCCTGTCTGACAGAAATTCTATAAAATGATATGGTCCCTAATTTTGCTACTTTTGACGTTGTGGTTCAATTTTAATGTATGTTTAATGAATATTAAAAAGCGACTTTTACAGGAAATTTTCATTAAGTTTTAATACATACACCTGGCTATCAAACATTACATGGCATACTAGCATTTGATTTTATGAATAAATGAAGTATAGTATGGTAAAAATACTCATATTATACTCTGAGATTTATCAGTGTATGGAGTTAGCTGAAGTAATACTTTATGGAATGAAATAAGATGAACTAAGAGCAAAATGAGAAAAAAGTGAAATTCAAGGTCAAAAGAAAAGGTCAAGGTAAAAAAAAATTATGACACACTTAATTGCTTCACCAATTTTTATCAGTATGCAAAGTTTGATGAAAAAGCATTTTGAACATGTTTTTGAAACTTAGATAACTGCAAACTGAAGGAATAATGAGTTCAAAGTCATTTAAAAGGTCAATGTAAGAAAAAAAAAGTGAAATTTCTCTTGTACACATGTATCTTAGATATGAAGTTTGATTAAACTAGAAATATGTCCATAGGACACTAATGCCCCACCGAGGGTATATTAGTAATGCAACATTTTAACACAAATTGAGAAAAGTGAGGTCAAGGTTAAAGGAAAGGTCAAGGTAAAAAAATATTGATGCAGTTGAATAGCTTACATCAGTATGTATCAGTGTATGAAGTTTGACACTAATTTAAGAAAAGTGAGGTCAAGGTCAAAGGTAAGGTCAAAAATTGTTGCTGCAGTTGAAAAGATTACATCAGTATGTATTAGCATATGAAGTTTGATAAAACTATTATGAATAGTTTCTTTAAAACTGAGCTAAACACTAATTTAAGAAAAGTGAGGTCAAGGTCAAAAGAAAGGTCAAGGTCAAAAATGTTGATGCAGTTGAATAGCTCTTATCAGTATGTATCAGCATATGAAGTTTGTTAAATATATCTTAAATGGTTTCATTAAAACTGAGCTAAACACTAATTTAAGAAAAGTGAGGTCAAGGTCAAAAGGAAGGTCAAGGTCAAAAAATGTTG